AAAAGAGCAAGGAAGACCAAACATCGATGAAGATCATTTGAGCTGTTCTAAGTTGGGCCTTACTAAACAAGACAAAATTACCTACTAGCAACTTTAGTGTTTGTTTGTGAGCACTTCTATATTAAAAGTTCACTTGTGAGCTCGATTTGTTGACATGGGTCAGTATAAAAAGTGCTTATGTGATGTATATGGTGGCTAATGCCCATTTTGCAAAAGTAGGTTGAAAAACAGCTCTGCTAAGCCTTTAAAATAAACCGAAACACATAATATTAGAACAAATGGACTTCCATAGCTAAAACTTTGAAAGTGCTACAAGCCTACATCACAACCCCTTACTTGTTACTGAATACAATTTTACAAACCAAGAAAATCATTCTCATCTAGCAAAAGCAACCTACTTTTGCAATGATAAAGAATAGATAATAAAGAAATCTGCTATTGATCGATTACCGTTAATAATGGGCCCATTTGATGTATCTATCAAAATTCAACAAGATAGAGGCTTAATAGCTAACTGTGGAAAAATACAATGGTCTGGCTATTATTATAAGCATAAAGTTAGTCAAAATTCACCTCATAAGAACATAGTAGGCCCAGATTCTCAAGGCAGAACAGAACTCCAGTGTACTCATTGGACAGTTTTTCCAGCAGCTGTTTATATTCACTGCTCCTTTCTGTGTACTGATCTGGCAGAGACTTTTTCAACCCAAGCAAAACTGCATCAAACTGTCAAAAATAGGAAGTTAAGGTACTAAAGTCAGTGCCTAATATGTACTATACTCAAAATGAAAGCAGCTAATAATAACACTTTTCACAGAAATCATTTAGGAAAATCACAACAACCACTCGGCAGCTTACATGTAATAATAATAATAATAATAATAATAATAATAATAATTCAAAGGAAAACACAATATATGCACAGCATATTTTTAAAATTCTTCTCTAGTACATTAAATATGGGTCTACACAATCCACAAACTAACATCTTGTGAGAATTCACCTTAGACCATGAATTTTGCAATTTTGCTTTCAATTCCAAATAGGCAGGCTGCATTGGTTCATAAAATCTACATATTGGCTTGATTGTGGGTTTACATTCCTCAACTTCAACCTCGTCTTCTAGCATATATACCTTCACAACCAAAAAGAAATTTATAATGAAGAAATAATTGTATGAAACAGAAGCACAATTTATCAACTCCATCGACTCGAGCAGCGTTTACCCGGCAATCCAATAGACGTTCAAGCTTTACTATATGCTCCTTGGAGTTATTAATGGGCGAGAAGCCTGATGAACAAGGGAAAGTAAGATTATGTTAATGGGGTTATCATAAAAAGAAAGGAGAAGAAAAACAAGGGGCAATTAGTGTGTACTCTATAAAACATTAGTCTGTTTGCTTTGATTCACATTTAGTATTAGAGTTAAACTCACCAAAAGACGCACTAAAGAGGACAAATGAGACAATGTACATTTCAATCAAAAGCCAAAAACAGAACAAAGAAAAGGAAAAGAATGAATCTGAAAATAGTTTGGTTTACCTTTTCTGATCATCGACAAGGCAGTCATCCCTAAGATCTTAGGTCTTTTAGTACATTTATGATAGAATTCCTTCAAAAACCAAAACCTATTGATCAAATATTTGCCTGATGGCAAGATAAGAGAACATTAAAAAAAAAAAAAAAAAATTGTGAAACAATGGAATACTCAACCAATGACAACCTCCATTATTCTTGCGTAAGGATGTTTGCCTGTAGCTCGATGACACTCGTCAAGGATAATGAAGCAAAATGTTTTGAAACTGAGTAGTGACTTCCTCAAAGCATTCAAGAAAATTTGAGGAGTCATAATTAGCACCTAAAACAACAGATTAAAATTTGTATGCTGTATTACTTACAAAAAATTTGGCAGATTTCCTCTCTGATAACATTATAATAACAATAAACACTTGAAGACAAGAGTATGTGCAACAATATTTAGAATAAACAATAGAGAATGCTAATAAACTGACATCATGCTCATGGATTTCTTTCTCCCAGTTTTCACGGGTCCACCCATCAACCCCTCGAGCTCCATAGTATTCATCCACATGAAGCTCTGTACGAGATTTTATCTCCTCATATTGCTGCCATATACAACCAGTAACAATGAGTTAATGTAGAGCACACATATCGAAAAATCATTCTTACACAAATATTTTCTTATTTGGAAGTAAAGAAAAATAGTATGGAAACAAGTTTGATACATAACCAGTAGAAGAACCAACTAAAAACTGGAGAATGTTTACACTACCATACAAATCATTGAGCTTAAATCATGTGATGTAAAGCATCTTTCAAGAGGGTAAACCAATGTTTCCTCAAGATAAATAAACACATATAAACCCAAGAATTAGACAAATCAGAAACTACATTCTACTTCAATAGGTCAATATGGATTACACATCTCAAAAAGAAAAAATTCAATATTAAAAATAACGCCGTGAAGAGAATGAAGTAGCTCATCGGAATGAAATTCAGACAAAGTTCATCTAATTTCAGAACAATTTTCTACAAAAGTTCTACTGGTGCACAATGTCACTAAATCACAGACATCTAACCATCAAGTGTGGCTCAATAACTAGACATGCAACAGATAAAAACCATATGATTGCTTAATAAAAGGTCAAAGGAAAACATCAGCATAAACAGTGGACAAAAACAAGACATCAGGAGTAAGTTTTTCAGCCAGTGAAGCTCAAAGTACAAAATTACCAACTTGCATGAACTAAACAACAAGAAATAAAAAATAATGAAACAAAAACACAATTTAACAAACATGCCTGGTGCACAATATGAACCGTAGGGACCAAGAAAACAATCAGCCTTTTGCCACCAGCATTATCCTTCAAAGATTTCCCAATTTCTCTTATGATCCGGGCCACAAACAAATTTTTCCTCGGCCCAGCATCGATCAGTGCTATAGTATTCCTTCTCATTGCCACTTCAAACACCTTCATATCATAGCTATGAACACCATGCAACTACATTAGCAAAAGAACTCCACAATCACACTGAACTCTTTACCAATATCTCCATTTAAAAAAAATATTAAAAGAAAAAAGAAATGGGGAAAGAAAACAGGAATAGCAGAAAGATAAACTTTGAGAAATAAATTACCCATTAATTGTCATATCAGAGAAAAAAAAAATTAAAAATAAAACAACTTAGAAAGACACGAACTCGCTGGGTGCAAAGGCAGTGTCTGTATCCATGGGTTCAGTAGTTTCATGCTGGGACGAATTGAAGCTATCGAAGCTTCTCTTTAATGAGTTTGGCTTCGCGTTCTCAGTGAGCTCCATTTTTTCACAATTTTTTTTAATAGCTGCTTCATGATCAGGAGAAAAAGGTGAGGACTTGGAAAACAACAGCAACACAAAATAAAAACAGAATCTTTTAGAGAAACAAGAATTGTGTGTCTGCGTGAGAGTGGGCGTGAGGGAGAGAGAGAGAGAGAGAGAGAGAGAGAGAAAAAACGAAGGAATGAAGACCATCAGCTTAAAAACTTACACTTCACTGCAAGCGGTACAAGAACACGAAAAAGGGGCAGCAAAACACGGCCAAAAGAGTCATCAGGAGAAAAGAAAAATACGACAAGCGATTCTGAAGATGAATTCTGAAGATTTTCAATCTTTAATGCGAAAAGGTATATATAGGAGCTCTAGAAGTGTTGGGACTCGGCAGTGACTAGTGAGTGGTAATTTTCTCTGCATGTGCATCAAATACTTGTACTTTTAGGACATTTTAACTACCCTTCGGTGAACATTATTTTCCCGTTTGCTTTTTTTTCCTTGTGGGACCCAGCGAAGCTGATTCGGCATCTGTGCAGCACCAGAACTAAGCGACAAAATTATCATTAATAAAAAGGGGTCTTTTGGTCAAAAACAATAAAAAAATGAACAGTATTTTCAGATTTATGGATAAAAGACAAATCAAAAGCTGTCTGGGGATATTTCTTCATTTATGTTAGATATTTGAAAAAATATTTTGTTTCAGTCCATTTTGTCATTTTTCTAAAAAAATTTAGCCTATTAATTGAATGTATTTTAAACAACTTTACGGTATTGTTGATTTAATTATACTCTCTTTTCCAAAGAGAGAAAAATTCAATGTCAGCTCCTTTAAGTGTATAGTCAGTCATCGAAGTTGTCAACGACTTTTTAACAGTGAAACTAAAAATACAAAGAAATGGAGGTACTTCTATTACTATGAAATTCAGAATTTTTTTTTACGAAATAATTTATTAATTTAATGTGTTAGTCTGAGCGTTTCTTATCTGAAAGTATCAGTCATTGCTTCAAGCAATTAAACTATTAAAGTATTGGGTAAAAAAAATTACTAAGTATTCAAATTTATGTCCAAAATTATTTACAAACAATGTCCTTATTTACTAAACTCCTTTCAAAATATAATAAGTACAATAGCTTTTCTCTAAAACAAAAACCATTGTAAAGTCGGGTCACTTTTTGAAAGTTGAACCAAGAGAAAAAAAAAATAAATTTGTAGGAAACAAATAATAAGAGCATCATTCCACAAGCTTATAATTCCAATAATACCTACATTCTATTATTCTGTGATGTCTCATAATACTTCTGCAATTTTCACCAAGAGAAGCCCAAGAATTCAAGTGTATGACAAGAAAAAGCCTTAATTACCTTCACAAACTCAAGAATTTGCAATACTGCAGTACAAATTAAAA